CCGCCACTGCTCCCGGTAATATTAAATACAATTATATCTCATCGTGCAGAATAATCACGCGAATCTATGCACTCTCGTGACTTTACGTGTTTTCGATACACAACGATACATTCGTTTATTCCTCGCCGGATGTTTTCATTAAATGTTTTGGAAAACGTCACATGTGTATGTGCCTTCGTTTGCACACGGTGCCTATAAAACGGTCTCGTTTATTAGACGATCTCATTAGAGTTCACTTAGCATAGTTACGCGAACAATCGAAAAATGAAAATGAAGTTCTTCGTAATTATATTTACTGCCTTCGCGATTGAAGTGAGTTTCTAAGATTAAAGTTTTTCGAAAGTATATATCTCTCCGATTCTTTGTTATCTGAAAATTAAATCTCACTCGCATACATACTTGAATATTTTAGAATTTTATCAAATATATTATAATTTTTTTTTTTTATTCTGAATTTCGTTTTCAGGCGCAGTGCCGCTCGCTCACACTTTCAAACGTGAGGGAAGCAGGTAGGACTTGTATGTTTCACGTTTCATATTAGAGATAGATATTAAATACCCATACATAACAGTAGCATGTAATATATAATTATTACGCGAGCAATTTCTGCTTGTCGTAATTTATTCTCTAATTAGAGAAAAGAAAGTGCAATCTGCATAGAAATTAATGTATATCAGAATACATCAAATTAAGATATACTATATTATTGACAAGAATATGATTTAAATGGATTATTCCACGTGCGTCGGATAACAAAATAATGATAAAATGTGAGGTATATTCATTCAATTAATACATGATAATTTAAGATCGTTATGATATTTATCAGTGTTTTTAGGTTATTTATGACACAGAGAGATTGGATGATCCACTTGAGAATTACAGTTATTGTATTACAACGCATAATTTAGAATATGTCTTACGACCAAATATGTGGAATATAATTCATGCGAATTGTTAATTTAATATGGAGATAGTATTACACAATTGCATGTAACTTAAAGTTAATAATTGACAAAATTGTTATCGTAATTTAGGAATGTATAGAGAATGTCGCCAGTCGTTTTGATGTCATTAGGAATTTAATGAATATTGATAATGATCTGATGTCAGATCGAAAAGTTTATTTTTGATTGTATGTAATTAATTGAATAAATTGAAATTCGCTTTTGTTATCCGCGGCGCATGTGGAATAAGTCATTTAAATCATATTCTTGTTTTTATTTAATCCACGGTAAAATTGTAATTGTTACTATTATTGAATCGATACAGAATATTACATCGCGTAATTTTTTTAATTTGACAGACGAGACAATTCCCGTAAATACGCCGAAGCAACTAAAAGAACTAATTGCAGCGTACGAGGAAAACTTCGGAAAGCTCATCAATTTTGCCATAAAAATAAGTGACAATAAGGACAACAATAAACGCGAGGTCCGATAATATGCTGTACCGTAACTTATATATATAAATAATACAAATTAATTATATATTGTCGATTAATACACAATTTATTAGTATAAACATTACAATAATTAATAATTGTATTCGGACTCTCAAATTATAAACATTACCTTTAAACTGAATATTGTTCATTTTAGATACAATTTTTAAAGCATAAATTTTTAAGCTCGATTATCGGACAACTTGTCCAAGAGCAATCGAGAGTTATGCACGCCAAACTTAACAATACAGACTCTATCTTGCAGACATTAAATAAAGTTAATAACGTAAAAGATCTAATCAATACTATAAAGGAGATTGATATTGTCTATCAGGATGAGGAGATTACTGATGAGCACGTTCGAATTAGTAAGTAATCGAAAATCTTGATCAAAATATGTCCTGATGTCAAAGAATATTATTAGCGTTAATAAGTCTGGATATATTTAAATAAAATACAAAGTTATATAGAAATTGAGATATATATAAATATCGTAAAATACTGTAAAAAATTCAAAAGAAAATTAATATTTTAAAATTTTAATTGCAGAACGAGCTGCGACTTTAACAACATCAGAAGAACGGATGACTAATATGCTGATTGATATTCAACGTCAAGTGGTGCAAATTCGAAAATATTTAGATAAGTTATGCAAGTAAGAGAGGCGCAAAAACAATTATAAGAAATGCAGACTGCGTCACTAACATTGAATAATTAATGATTAATTTCGACGTTTCAGAAAACATCATCCAACGTCAACAACTATTTTAGAAGTGAATTCTGATGTTGATATTTCTCCCGTTGGTCAGCCAAATAAAGTAGCGATTATGTAAAACAAATTTTTTTCTGTATGCTCGAATGTTACGAAAAATCTAGCCATATGGTATTTTAATAAACGTACTTAAATCGTATTTTATAATTATAAGTGTATACATTATATTGACTATAGACTGTAATTAATAAATTAATGAATAACATGGAAAACCAAATAAATATCGTTATAATAAAATATCGAACGAATATACATTATCAATATCATTTAATTTCTAATTTTATTGTAGAGATTCGTCTTGACGTATTGGATTTATACGATTGCGATATATTCATCCGATCTGTTGCTAGATATCATGTTAAAATGTTTTTCAGCCACATCATTTGATACGTTTGGTCGATAATACGTAGTCACCGCTGACGACGGAACCCTCGTCGCGACGAAGCAGTTCTTTGTCATTAATTGGTAAGTTTTTTTCCGATTTAATCGAACTTGCCAATCATATTAAACGCATATGACACAAACAGAAGGCAGTGAATTTTGTTTAAACAATATTCCATCATATTTTAACATCCTCGTGAATAAAGAAGATGATCTCTACTCGCAAGACCTCAGTGCCTTCAATTACACAATGCACTTCGTTGACATAATTTTTTAGTGATAATATTTTGTCGAATAATAAAAGGTGCGATTCTTAATGGCAATTATTTATCACTATCGCTGTGCTTCTATTTAGAAATTAGATCTTTCAGGCTGAATTAGTTTAATTGAAAATATTCATCAATATTTATTCGTAATTAATATTAACAATTCAAAATTTTGGAAAAACGTCTCGATGACGAATATTTTCTCAAATAAATTGAATTATTATAATTCTGTAAAATCTGAAAATTAATTAGTTAATATTAATAATTTCAGGTGAATTATTTTGATCAATGTAGGTATAGTAGATTATTGTAGATTGAAACGAAATTCACATGCATGCTACGTTTATCGCGAGTTAGAAATTAGAGAAGTTAAATTGAGAATCCGTAAGTACAGGAACACACGTGTCGATTATCGCAACGCGATCTAATTTAGGGTACTGTCGTAGTTCTCATTCTATCAGTTCATATCCTCGTGAAATTGCATTCATTGGTAAAATTCTGCTGAATTCATATCTGTAATTACAATATTAAATCAATTTACAGAATAAACAAAATAGACAAAAATCAAATATAGAATTTTTATCGTAATTGCTTTCGACGAAATATTTTTATATAATAAGTAGAAAACATGCAAGAATGATAGAAGAAGAAAGATTCATAATAAAGAAATCATGTAACGCAATAAAATAGGAGAGATTTCATCATGCAGAGATTAATATCATGCTTTCTCAAAATTGCAATTTCCTATGCTATGAATTGACCTCTCGCGTTTACAGGAGCGATTCTCAAGGCATATTGTTAAAGATGATTACTCGAAGATAAGACATGCATTATTCAAAATAATAGTTCTCTTGGAGTATCTCATATTTCAAGCGCTTTATTACCGTTTGCATAAATAGATCTCACGTTTAAAAGTGATTATTTAGATAGTTTACAAATTGATTAAAAATGTGTTATTAAATTGTTAGAGATAAAATTTTCTTTTCTAATCAAAAGATATTTGTATATAATTTTATATTTAAAAACTTTTGAAATCATATTGCTTGTTAATCGAACAGAGATATAAAATTAGAGTTTCAGTAAAATTGTCAAAATAGTTATGAAACGAATAAAAGTGTGCTTTAAAGTTTTCTCTATTTTCTATGTTCTACCTGGTACTGCGTGTTCAGATCATACAGTCCTAAATAATACACGAATTGGTTTGCTTCAACACAAATACAGCGCGAGTTGCATTTATTGTCTAATGAGAAAAGTTTTTACATTTTATCTCGCAAAATGACTGCGAGGCATAAACTTTTTAATGTAACAACGTACATTATTTGTATTTTAATATACAGTGATAGATACAATATTAAATGCATAATATCTAAGTTTATGCACTATTCATAAATCTCAGAGATTTTTCTTTCTAAATGACGTTCTTTTTCTCTGTATACGCAGACCAAGTTACGCGCACATAAATGTACGATTTAAATTCATTGGAATATTCGTGCCACGAAAATGGCGAACACAACGAACCAACACCGTTACATGGAAATTACGCAAATATGATCGTAAATAATAATAACTCAGTTGCACACGAAAGAAAAGCAATCTTTTGACGAGCTACGATTGGCTATTTGCAATTTTTAGCTGTAAAAAAGGAACCACTGCACCTCCGCCCCGTGAATTATTTCTTATCGATTAATCGACTCGAATGTCTATATCGGTTCGTAGTAACAGTTTCTATTTTCATACAATTTTTCCTATTCCTATTAAGCAGATTTGCATTTTTATTACAATCGTGAAAGCCCCATTTAAAGTATACATTTGTTCTTCTTTATTGACTTCTACTTTTAAATTACTTGCTTCTCACTATATTATTTCTCATTTTTAACTCAATGTAATATTATGTTCATCTTGCTTTTTTTTTACATTCTCAAATATTATATATATTTTTTATACGTATATTGAAGTATACAAAAATATCTTTGTAATACGAAGTTTTGTATCTTCATATACGATTTATGATTTTTTTTATTACTTATGTATTACATTTGATTGTTACACTTGTGTATTTTCTTTTTAATTATAAAATACTAAAGATCTAAAAAAAATTAGACTTATAAGTAGCATCACATTACTGATGCTATTCTTCACATTTGTCTTTATGTATTTACATATCTTCTATCTTATCTTTCAATAAAATTATAATTATTAATATTATGTATATGCAATATACTCGTATAAACAGAAAAAAGTATTAATTATTAAAGAATAGATCAGAATAGATTCTTAATTCTGCTGTACAAATAGAAAGCTAAAACTGGTCGAATAATTTAGAATTATCTGTAATGTCAACAACCTAAATTAAAATTCCAATTAATTCAGAACTTTTAGTCACTGTGAATGGAGATGTCTGAACAACGAAATGCCACGCAAACTGGGAGGGCAAAACCGGGCGTCGGCGCCGGCGCCGACGTCGACGCCGAGGGTCGAACAGGTATAAGCGTTCGTGCCGGCGCGACGCTCATGAAAAGTGTTTCCATTTTCTTGACGAGCGGTCGCAGGGCGTCGGCAAACTCAAAGCGGCAGGTCTCCGCTGCTTCCGGCAAGGACGAGTCATCAAGAAGGAGACGTCGCCGAAAAATGCCGGAGGGCGGAGGCGCCAGGAATTCCGCGTACATCGTAAAAGTGATCGAATCCCTTAAAAAAAAGACGAGGTTCTCCAGGCGAGTTTGCGAAGACGCATTGCAATGATTCTTGAATTAATTTTCCAGTGTTTTATCTTGTCATTTTCTCGACAAAGAGAAATAAATGGAATTAAGTGGACTTGAACTGACGGATAAAAGTTAATGGAATTACGCGATTTACAAAAATAAGATTCTCCAATAGAATACAAAATTATACTTTGTGAATTATACTGGTTCAATAGCATAAATATATAAAATAAAACATAATCACGCGTTTAACTATTTTGATTACCGTTTAATCTGAAGATTTTCTTTTGTCAGGGTGGAACTGGATAGTCTCTGCAAACTTTACAAGAAATTGACTACCAATTCCAGCCAACAACAAGATGGGAGATCGATATCTATCGGCAGAAGGCCACAATCGAGGCCAGCTGTCGAGGTAATTACACCACACGCAATTGAAAGTTAACTTTGTATTTAGAAAAAATAAAAAACATGCAAATTACATTTAAAAATTTCTTCAAACTCACATTGTGTGTGCTTAGAGAATCGACAGAACTATTTTTCGAGAACTCCTTCACAACACGTTTCACGTAATCACCGAGGACATTTTGGTAGAGCGCTTGTTTTGCTGTTGGGATCGAGAGATCGAAGGTGCTATCAGACTTGAACCGTGGATCATGGGACTAGACGTGTTCTTGCGAGGTAGTCTGCGTGACAAAATCGTTTTCTGCTTTCACGTGTACGATCTAAACAACGACGGATACATCACAAAGGACGAAATCTTTCAGCTGCTCAAGTAAAAAACGATTAAAATCTTAACTTAATCGTATCTGTTTTATTCATAAATATTATCAAATATTTTCTTCTAATTATCAAATATTTCGTAGAAATTGCCTGATAAAGCAACCCGGTGAAGAAGATCCAGACGAAGGAGTGAAAGATCTGTCGGAGCTGGCCTTGAAGAAACTCGACATCGATCACGATGGAAAAATATCATTTCGAGATTACGAGACAGCAGTTATAGAAGAACCGTTATTATTAGAAGCGTTCGGACAGTGTCTGCCTACTGATGAAAGCTGCGCAGATTTCTTGGCGACTCTTCAACCCTGAAAATATACACAAAATTATAGTAGACGTAGTTATAGTAGACGTTTTACACAATAAACGTTCTTTCAATAAGAGATATTTTTAGCAATCGATATCCTCATGATATGAGGATTATACCCATATTATCCCTCTAAAACTTTTTACTCTGTTATATATATTATCATTTATCAATAAATGCAATTACAATACGTAGAAATAGGTCAGCTCGATTGAACTCTTGTACGTGTAATTGAGCAGAAAATATATCTATTGTCATAACGGACGTTGAAGTAATTATTACATCCTCTCCACTCATCTCGAGGGCTTGTTCACGTAGTTAATGATCGATGAAGAACAGGCTGATTGATCGATCGCGATACGTTATCGGAAGTATTAAACATTATTGAGATATTAACTTCTTAATTAAAATTGATATCAACAACTTCTTTTAATTCTTTCCGTTCCATTGCACAAAATTATTATAGTAGTACACGATAAATATTTTGATACGTTTAATTTTAATTAAATAATATAGACTTTGCATCAACTTGCCTTAGTTTTATTATTTACTTGATTATTTATTACTTAATTTTATCATGTAAAGATTAGATCGCAACGCTAATACTAGAAAACAATGCAAACATTAAATTTGATCTTCGCAAAGATACTTTTAAATAATAATTGTTATCAAGATCCGTACAGTGACAATTCAATTAATAATATAATCTATTTTCTCTTAAAGTTTGAGAATCGTCCATGTGATTATATAGGTTTTTCACATGTTTTGTATAGTTACTATACATAAAAATAATCAATTGACGTTGTTTTAATTAATGATTGTCCATAATGCGAATAAAAGGAAGAGATGGCTGTAAAAAAATTAAATCGGAAACAACAAATCTCGACACTGCATCCGATATAGAGTATAGATGAAAACGTGATGCGATGACAACAGTCGTTAAAGTTGGACAACATTGAAATACTCAATATTAATTTTACGATCATATTTAAAGCGATTGTGTTTAGCTTGTAGGAGCAAATGGTAAAATGTGGCCGAGAAGTTCAGTTTTGTTTGTTATTAACGCGTTGATCGTTTTGGTAAAATAAATTTAAATAAAATATTTAAAGCTTTTTAAAATTTTATTTAAAGTTAAATTAAATATAATCGAAAAAGCATTTTATTATACTTTAACAATTTAAAAAAAATAATATTGTTAAATATATACTTATATTTTATATTCTAAACATATACTTATTTTATTTAATAGAATTATAAAAGATATTTATAAGAAATAATATAACAATAATTTGTAATAATTTCGTATACTTATAATATCTTGCGATTAATTCTTTTTCTTTTATTAGGTACATTCTTTGCCATCAAATATTGATTGGAATACTTCGCGTAATGATTCAGATTCAGTTGCTCAAAATGAAAAGATTTTGAAGCTTTTTTTACAATTAGCAACGCACACAGCGAATCGATTAACGCATTTGAGAAAGAAAAGTGAAAAAGGATATGATTGTAACAGACGCAACGATACTCCGCCAATTTCAACAACCGAAGCTGTCGTAACGCAATCGCCATCTCAAACGAATCTAGAAGGGCTTGATAACAGCCAAAAAATTCTGAATCATTCGTCTTCCGGTGATTCTGAAATAAATTCAGATAAAAATCAAACAGTTTTCAACTCACAATTACAAAAGTTAAGTGATCTTCAAAATATCGACGATAATCAAGATGTAGAACGCAATCCAAATTTAAACATGAGCAATTTAATTCCGAAATCTGTACAAGACGCTTATGTCCGAGACGCTTCATCCGATGTTATCGGACATAATCACGAATTTAATTCCAACACTTCACAAAAATCAATTCTCGATTCAGATACATCAAGCAACTCGCTAAATGCAAATGAATTTAGACCAGACTTTCCGAAATCAGGGAGAAGAACTAATCAAGCTTTAGTAAAGAATAACACGGATACATCGATTATGAATGATTTAACTGAAACTGTGAATAAATTTTTTCCAAACTCACAAAATTTGCAGGAACCGACGCTCGAAATAAGTCAACGATTATTTGACACAGATTTAGCACAAATTATTCCGAAGATTATTAGTAATGTACACGAAAACGCGAATCAGCATATTCCGTCACAAAATACGCAAAATATACGAGCGTTATTAGATAAGAACAATGACATAAAGCGAAAACTTTTTGATCCAGTTACAAATATTGGAAACATAAATACGCAAACTGATAAACAGAAAGATAATTTACCTCTAGTGAATGAGATTCTATCAAACACGAAAAATATTGTGGAGTCGATGATTAAAGTTTTACCTGAGACTGCAAAAGGCGCGAGTAACTTATTGAGTCAAGCTATTTCGCAATCTCAAGATATCAACACGCCATTAAAAAGTGCCGAGGAAAGTCAGAATCATCTCGCGCAATTTGACTATTCTCAACAGGAGCAAAGTGAAAACGCTAAACAAGTAGAAAATCAATTTGATGCTGAAGTATCTGGAAAAAATAATCAAGAAACAAGAGTTAACGATTTATCAACAAACGAGAATAATTCAATAGTCGATGATAGTAATAAACAATCCACATCAAAAGATTCTTCTATTCCGCTCCTTAGATTTTTATCAGATTTTAATGAACTGGAGAACAATAATAACAAGACTAAAATCGATTTTTCTTCTATTCAGACAAATGAAAGTGCTAATAGTTTTATCGGTGAAGAATTATCGATAAAGGAAGAAAGTAAATTGACAGATATTGCAGTTATGACGTCAGTATTACCCAATCAAATAGAATCCAACACATTAACTTCGATTACGGAACATCAAGCCAAAAGTTTGAACGGTGTACAAGATTCTAAAAATATGAACGACGTTATAAAATCTGATTTAGAAGATGGGAAAAATCTTCAAGATAATTCATCTGTTAATGACAGAATAAATCGATTGTCTGAAAATCAAATTACTCATATCGACGATAATCTATTAGATTCAAATAGTCGTTCTCTTATCGATAATTTGAAAGATGAAGATTTGCATGTGCAGCTGTCTGAAGCAAAATTACAAGAAATCAGCGATCAATTGATTAACGCGCTTCGACCGATTATAGAGAAGAGATTGGACAATAATCAAACTTACGTGACTGATCACTATAATAAATAACGAAACAAAAATTTACATATCGAAAATATTATCTAACAAGTAAACCTACGGAGGTGTCACTCACCGATTTTAATGAAACTTTGCATATTTGTAGAACTTTGAAAAATATTTGACACGTACTTTCTTTTATCTGCAATGGTCCACTCTGAAGGGTGAAAACTACCCCTTAAAGGTAAGGGATATATTTAACATATTAGGTGAATTAAGTTGAAAATTTTAAAAAGTAAAATGTGTTAGGAAGTTTTTGGGGTCTCTGAAACTGAATCTTATGTCACAAGTATGAAATTCAAAATGGCCGATCCAATATGTCGTCCAGATACTTATTTCGTATAATATGAAATAAAAAAAAGTTGAAAATTTTAAAAAGTAAAATGGGTTAAGGAGTTTTTGGGGTCGCTGAAACTAAATCTTATGTCAAAAATATGAAATTTAAAGTTTTCTCTACGTGCCATGTGCAATCATGAGTAGACGGGCGTACGCAAACGTTTTCCGTTTTCACTGACGCATAAGTACACTGTAGATAGGAGCGGTCTGATGTTTACGTTTTTTCAACAGAGTTGAAAAAAAATTGTACCCCGAAAGGTGAGAGGCAAGGGGACTCACTGTAAAAAAGCACCTTGAAAGTATCTTGTATCAATACATTTTTTGCAAAAATTATAAATTTTAACGATATAGCTGCCATATTGAGACCGCCATTTTGAATTTTATATCTTTAATACCATATTTAAAATCATCGACCTAAAAATCGGAAATTTTAATTCTGTGATGACAAGAATTCTTAAAATTTACTCATTTTGATAAAAACTAATAAAAATTTTAATCATATTTATATTTTTAGATCGTACATGTGAGAAACACAATCAATACTAGAAATTTAAATGTCTATTACGGTTGGAGCTGGATCTTTGTTGCTTTTAAATAATTCAAACTTGAATTACTAATATATACTATATATGTACTTGCATATATACCATATTGTAGTCTTTTTCTAACTGCGCGTCGAATTGTTTTTCCGGACTAAATAAACGCAATTAAAACTACTCTAGTAATCGCGAATTAAATTGACAAGCAATTTTAATAATTTTATGCTACCATCAAGCATCATATATTATAAAGATGTTAATATATTAAAACTGTTAATAAATTTATTGCGAAAAATATTACCTCGGCCGAGACTTGAACCCGGACCTCTTGTAAACCGTACGAGCGTCCTGAGCCATTAGACTACCGAGGCTAAAAATTTTAATGTATATGGACGCCATATTGGGTCCGCCATTTTGAATTTCATACTTTTGACATAAGATTCAGTTTCAGCAACCCCAAAAGCCCTCTAACACATTTTACTTTTTAAAATTTTCAACTTATTTCATCTAATATGTTAAATCTATCCCTTACATTTAAGGGATAGTTTTCACCCTTCAGAGTGAACCATTGCAGATAAAAAAAAAAATACGTGTCAAATATTTTTCAAAGTTCTACAAATATGCAAAGTTTCATTAAAATCGGTGAGTGACACCTCCGTAGGTTTACTTGTAAGTCTAAGCAAATAATTTACAAGCAAGATTCAAATTACACAGTAAGTGTTATGAATCTAGAATTATATATAAAATGTATATATAAATAAGCTATAATAATTAGACTAATTATTTTATAATAATTATTATTTTGTAATTACGATATGCTTTTACATCACAATAAGGACAATTAAAAATCTTATATATTAATAATTATAAAAATCTTTGAAAATTGAAATTGAATGTATAAATTATTCATATCACTTTTAAAGTAGTAACTTAGTTGTGAGAAATTGATCCATTAATGGATGTGCTGAGTGTTAAAAGCGTTCCTTGTGAAATTGATTTTACAATCTTTATAACTTCCACGCGAAAATCAATTGACGAATAATGATCAGAGTATACTTATCTTTTGATTAGTTTTATAATGTGCTACCATAATGAAACACTTATCACGTACAGCGATTTTTGAGCACGATCTTAAAACCTGATTCATGCATATTCTTTACTTATGAAAGTCCATATTATAAAAAATTCTGTATATCAAGAAATATATTGTCACTTTTAAGTTATAGGATATATTTATACGTTATACCTATTTATCATATTTATACGTTAGACCTATTAAAATCTTACAAGTGTCAAAAATATATATGTAGACACATTAATAAAAAAAAGAAATGTCTTTAATTATACATGTATAAAAAGAAATAGAGTCATGGCACATAGAAAAACGTAGGTGAGATGTAAGTAATAAGCGAATCAGTCAATCACAGTAGAAACCGTAAAGCAATAATATAAACAATAGCAAATTAAAAATGTTGATTAGCTTACTGCTTAAGTTTTTAGTGTGTCATAACCTATAGACAAATAAAAATAATCGAGAAGAGCCAACTGCGCGAGTACGACATAAAAAGTGTAGCTACCATTTTTGCATTTTTCAGCGTTTTTAATAATAATGTTAATTTACAAAAAAAAAAAAACAATGATAATGTGTTAAATACTGGAATATATAGGTAGATAAATGATCAAGATGAATTAAATGACGTCGTATTGTATCGTTTGTATACAAATTATACATATGATCGTAGCAATATGAAATGCGCAAAAAGATAATTGTTGTGATTCAAAGATACATTTTGCGAAAGCTACACTTACGAACATTGCATCTCATTGATCAGCATTGCGTACGTTCACAAACTGCCTATAAGCGGACGCCAGGACTTATCACGAATTATCGCGTGAATTAAATTTCCAACACGAATTGCGCCGTCTTTAATTTCTATGAGGTCTTGATATCGCACTGTTGTATTGCGCGAAAATTCCACCAGCACATCGTGTTATGGCATATAAAAGTCGGTTTATAGTAAATGCATTCGCCGTTTTGAGACACGCTAAGCCAGTGTTTCAAATCATTTTATCTGTACCAATTACGTTATGACAATTGTGTGCTTACCAATATTGTGGGCCACCCTAGTGGTGCTCACTGTTCAAGTAAGAACAAAACAAGTAAAAAAAGTGATTAATTATAATAATGATAATATGACATTGTGACCCCAATAAAAAAGCTTTATTGTCTTTATTATAAATTACTTTATATAAAAACAGTCTTTCGTATTTATTATTATTATTAATCTTTAACAACATACTGGTAACAGAACATCAGCATCTATTGTATATTGCAAATTTTAAAGTGCAAAAGATTATTAAATATTTTGTAAATAATGCAACGAATTGTAACTGATTTAATAATGTCATAATTCATAAATCTTTCCAGATGGATTCTTTGGAGCAAGCTTCAGAAGAAAATGTGAATGATGTAAGAGAAAAATAAAGAAATAGATAAAAGAATTAATTTTTTATCGCAATTATCTAAGAATATTACAATAATTATTATAATAATTTTTACAAACAAATTAATTTCGTGATAGACGTTATGTATAGTGATTATAATAATATGTTCACATATTATTATAATCATTAATTTTACATAATTAGAATTAGTCTTTGTAATAATACAGTTAATGTTATTCGATGACATGAAAACATTATCATAATAAAAGCTCGAGTTTGTCCATTATTTCATACAATGACAATTTATTGACGACAGATACTTATTTACATTCAAAACTAAAAGTACAATTTACAGGAACAGTTAGGACCGATAATCAAAAATAAGAATGTGAACATCAACGTGAATGTGAACGCTCAGGAATTGGCTCAAGAATTGTGGAAGATAATAGAGCCTCGTTTAAACAATCGCACTAATCATATCACCAACGCAAAGAGCATTAAGAAGGATCTCAAAGAAGCTGTAATACCTCTAGTGTCACAAAACAGAAGAAGCGGAACATCCCCGCCTGTCTTCCAAGTGGCAACTCAACTCGATAAGATCACCCGAAGGGCTATCACCAGAGACTCGCCGAGCATAAATATGTTAGACGAAGAGATCATGACGAGATACATCGTGGCAGATATGATGGCCTTCCTGAAGATAATTTTATCGAAACAAACTTGTCCGAAGACTAACCAGAAGGATAGTCATAGCAGAAGGATGATTCAACGTTCTGATACGACAACAATGTCGGACGATGATGAGCAAAATTATGCAAATATCAGAATCAAAATTCACAGAAAGGACATTCTCAATGCTCTCCATTAATTCGACATTACATTTTAACAACAACAAAAAATTATTCGATTAAATAATGTTTGTATAGTTACATATATTAATACATCGGATCTATCTCGAATTAATTGTTAACATCGGTGAATTTTCAAAGTAAATGTTCTTCTGTACATTTCTCTCGGTTTTAAATAAATGATTGTTTTGATTACCATACGCATATTTCACACACACACACACACACACACATTTACGTGTTTTAAAAAATTATCAGCTTTATATGACGTAGAAAGAAATTAATATACTAAAATAAATGTATAATTTCTTTGATTAACTTACTTTCAACAAATAGTAAGTAGTCTTAATATCATTTACTCTTCTGTAATTTTTTTTGTTTAAAGTAGAAATTCAATAAACATTAGAGGAAAGCCGCCTATACTGACATAGGTCTCCTAAAGTGACACCCCCTTATTTTTCAGAAACTAACTATTGCATTTATTTATTAATACTAATAAAATCATAATCTGTTTAGCTAATTAAAGAAATACAAACTCATAATTCGTGTATTTGTGGCTTGTTTCTATACCAAATCAGCTAAAAACGAATTCTACGAATAAGAAAATAAAATTCTTACGATTTTCTTTTGCAAATTGCATAGTTTAAATAGTTTCATTGTATAGTTTTATTTCATTATTCAAGTAATTCAACGATTAACTGCAATTAACTATTGTCATGCAACGATTTTTTCCAAGCTACATTATAACTGTGAACAAGATAATCGTTTTTATGTTATCAGCGTGTGTTAAAGAGAGTGAAGTATAAATTTGTATTATGTATTATTTTTACTGTTTGTAATATGTTTTTAACATTGATAATGATCCGATCGCGATCAAAACGTCTGTTTGTTTATTGTGCTAGCACATTGTGTTAAATCAACTAAAGGATTGTTTCTTTTATTTATGTTCAAACTTTTATATTAACGATGTTTAATTTTATAAAATAATTTTTGGCTCGTAGCCCTTTTCCCTTATTGTTTTTTAAATAATAGTGTGTATATTATTGATAATATTACGTCATTTTAAATGCTTGTAATTTCCTAAATCAGTTTTATTTACATTATTTTTTCTCTTAGCTATTTCATAATACAATTTTAAATTTAAAATTGAGATGCAGCACCACACCTGTTTGTAAAACAGATCATGAGCTAATTTAATCTTTATAGTGTTGCTTTATAGTGTCAAATAACTCTATTGGAGCTGGAGACAATCGTACATATATGGAAAAACTCTTGAAAAACTATCGCGTTACATATTTGCTTCTTGCAGAACATCATAAAGTGAATATGCATATGATTCAATAAAAATATTATAACGAAGAGAAAAGATTTTGAAATGTCTTAGAAACATTCACTTGGAGGTATTTTATACAAATAATTCCTGTAAAAAAAAAAGAATAGAAATACATAGCGTTACTGCCTACTATGTCAGTTTTGGAGCCTACTTTGTAAGACGCCTATTTTTGCTTACCTTACGAAAAAATTAATTATTGCAGAATTACAAACAGTATTATAAAAACTGCTTATACTATCTCAGGGAAGACACTTTTTAATTTGTATACTTATGTTTTTAAAGTTTTATTTTTACCTTTTGTTTAAGAAATATTGTCTAAAAATAAAGTGGTATGTTGGTATCGGTGACTTTCCTCTAATATAATGAACATTGACAATAAAAAAAGAAAAAACTTTGATTATTTAAAAATGCATTACCTATAAATTTAAATCAGCATGCAAAATTTATTTTTTGTACTTCAATTTCTCTCTCTTTCTCTCTCTCTCAGCTCTAAGCTATTTTAAAGTGTCAATTGATGGTATCGTAAAGAATAAATTGAATTTAGCACATTTCACTCAAGCGAACGATAACATTTTATATCATATGCTTTATATAATTAACAATTTTTTTATTACTCTCACTAAATTCGCAAACGACTTTTAATTTTAACGTGACCGTGAACGCTTCTATATGAACACTCAGCAGTAGACGATCACTCCAGAAATCAAAGAGAACTCGGAACATTGACAATCATGTCTTCTTCGATGATTTCGTGCCGAATATTCGGCTGTGTGGTAAGTCAATTATTTTTTAGCAATCAGTGCTAAATATATTATCGTTAATTCATATAGATATTAAATGTAATACAATTTAAAATATCATAATGATACAATTTAATTATCTTTTGATTTCTGTATAATTTTTTTAAAGTCTCTTTTGAAAACAAAGAGTTATTTATTATAAAATATCTAATTTAATTTTACTTTTTTATTTTTGTAAGCTCTTGATCTTGTTGTCGCAATATACTGATGCAAGAAAAAGCTATTACTTGGAGACTATTTTAGACTCCTTGCAACGTCTTGAAAATCTTATCAGACAAACTGAACGAAATGCATTTTGTATTATGCCAACCGAGAAACTATGCAACCTGATCTTAGAACACCAAACATCTTACGAAAGCAATGACCCCAATGAGGTATTAGTGGAATACATAAAGAATTACATAAAGAATATAAAAAAGCAAATAATAAAATTAATATAATTTTAATTTTCATAAAAAAACAAAATATGATTTCTATTTTTTTTATAATACATAATTTTAAAAATGACTTTTTGGTTTGTATATATATCAACAAAATTATTTATAGTAATTTCTTGACAAGTAGAGTATGAAATTTAATTAATTTAATTTTCATACAGATTTATTCGCTGTTGATTAAGAAACTTAAGCTTTTTAATTACAGACAAAAAATTTAAAGAGCATTGAATTTTCAGAACAACACCCAAGATCTCTCAACGCCGAAAAAGAAACAACAAAAGAAAGACACAATGAGGGCAATGAATAATAATGAAAACGTTAATATTAATGAAAATTACAACACCAATCTTGATGCCTTGAAACGGCATCATAGACGTTCTTTTGGCGATGATTCACGTTTACGCAAAATGCGCAATCAAAATGCGAATAGTAACGTCAATTTGAATAGCAATGTAAACGCAAATAGAAACGATGCATTCGATTTCAGCGACGAAGACGTTTAAATGCAGATAAACTTCGACCTCCTCCTAAAAAAATCAAAATTATAAACATTGCTGCACCTGATTGTAATTTCTCTAAAACTATCTATTACAATAATAAAATAATAGAACCAAACTGTTTGTAATATTTACATTTCAAACTAAAATACACTAAAATTACATTATATTATACAATTATTTCATTATATTACGGGAAATAAAAAATTAATTCATCTGCAAAGTTTCTGTTATATTTTTGAATCAAGATGGAACTTCGATCAAATTCGTTTTATCAATGTGATCTCGTTTTGTATTTTATTAAATGCATCATGTTTTAGTTTATTCATTAAAAAAAAAAATCAATTGTTCGTCAATTTTTTGATTAACATTTATTCAGTTTTTCTTTTATTGTACAAACAATTCTTTGATAACCAATTTCTTGATAACGATAATAATAAAATCAATATTTGTTTAATAGAAGAATGATCCTTTTATAATTCCTGTAAACAATTCATTTATGATTTGTTTATTTTTAATATTAAACATTTACTTACCAAGATAGGAGCTAGCTAAGAATGATCATACTACAGCTCATATATGTAATCATGGCACTTGCCGTTTATTAAAAACAAATTCAATAGTAATCGTATAATTACAAACAATAATAATGACAGTATAATTATAAAATATGCTCGGTCTAGCATTTTTTATAACGCGTTTGTAGAATCAGTCTTAACCCTCGGATTACCAAACACCGCTTGCAAAATGTATCATCTTCCCTTCTTTTTCTACCCCTCTTATCACTGTTTCAATCCCTCGATTTTCTAGTCAGAAAAATAAATATATTTGAAGGTACCGCTTCCTCGTGCCTGAGAAAATTTAAACGACCGATAACCCGAGGGCTAATTAAACTATGAGACGTGCTATAGAGGTATGTTACAGTGATGCAGGGGTTTTGTTTACGCAATCGAAAAATTGACTCTTGCATCCTCAAAAACAAAAACATCGACTGTCGACGTTCCGGCGCTTCCACTTTCGAGGATTTTCTGTTTTCGTTGCCCCACGTACCTCAAGGTTCCCGCACTTATTGTTAGATTTACATATGTGTATGTACACGCATGCGCATCTGAATATATATATATGTATATATATGCATTTATATTTATTCATTTATTTATTTATAATATATAATTATTTATTCGTTAGGCGCACTCCACGGAAACGAGCTGGCCCTTCTGTGAGTTCGATTAAAAAATAAATGATCCTTGTTCGTTTCGCCGGAGTGCTGAGATCTGTTGAGGGTGTCGAGCGACAGTCTCTCGTCCTTTGCGATGTAAAAACTAGCGAAGTTGGATAAAGCGCTGCCAATGATTTCTACTGTATATACCCTAAGCTCCATTTTTGTAGAGATATACGTATAGATTTTTTTATTATGTTCGTTTCATTACTTATTGCATCTTCTCTTGGTCTTGCAATTTTCGGCGCTTTATATCGTTTGTTATTTTTATAGAAGAGAATAACTTCTTTGTTTAACCCTCTGACGGACTATCAAGCAACTGGGACTTTTTTGATTATTTGTAGTGCGCAATCTAATAAACATAGAATGAAGAATAATATCAGCAAATTGATAAATTTTTACATTTTTAATTATAATAAATGAATTTTTAAATGAGACCAAGAAAATGATGCATGTTTTGTAAAATTATTTTCAGAAAGCATCAGAGGGTTAATAGTTTGTACATTGTTCTATGCTATATACATCATTGTTCATTTAGCAACTCATTAAAATTTATAACAATTTAAAAATATAATTTAATAAATATACGAACCAAGTTTGTGACAAGCTAATAAAATTGCTCTTTAAAAGTTTTACACTATTGCAATATTTTCACAGGTACCGTAGATATTGCAAAGAATGCAATATAAAAGGAATTGTTTACTCTCGTTTGTACATCTTACTCAATTGGAATATCAAGAAAAGTGCAATTTATCTTCATATTTTTATGAAATGTCTATTATAATATTTTAAATAAATATTCCGCGACGGACGCGAAAAAAATTTATTACGCGACAGACAAACATTAGTTTTTGTCGTTGTCATTTTGACAAGCAGTACCTTATCCAACTGTAGAAACTAGACAACGAAGAGAATAGACGTATATCTGGGTTTTTAGGCACTTAAATGTCGGAAGTTACTGGGAACTTTGAGTTCGTGGCTCAACGAACATCTGGTACTTCCTATTTACAGCCTTAATTGAGGACGTAATACGGCGCCCCGAAGATGGGTCGAGTTGCATTCAAATAAACGATATTCATACAATTTGCACGTCAGCTCGAGAATCATAAATTGCGAAAATTTCACATCGAAGAAGACGATTACCACGAGATTACAATTACAATTCGAAAGCTTTTGCTACTGGCCTGTTAAAAAATGTCCATTAACTTAAAAAATAATTGTCCGTTCGCCAAAGGTAGCTTATGCAAGCTATCATAAACAATTGTTGTTCAAATTTTTCGATTTCCAGTGTAAAAATTTTCTTCTGGAAAGTAATTTCCATGAAAATACAATCCATCTTAAATACGACCTTTCTTTCTAATATTCGTTTGCCGAGAAATAAAACATAAAGAAAACAAACGGATCGCCAACTCAACGAGAGTCGCAAAGATAAAATTCGTTCATCCGGTTTCGTACAGACCGGATATGTAAAATTATTCTTGCCACACTTATACACAATATAGCATACATGCTCTATACCAAAATACACTTATGTCTCTTGAAGAGTAATCGTGTGTATGTGTATCATCTTTCCTTCCTTATAATATGTATATATAAAATATTATGTATAAAAATCAAAGCCGCAATCATTACAATCATAATTTGCTATTACGTATAATAGAGTTCTAAAAGTTAGCCATAATTAATAATTAATTATAATTACTATTATTACAATAAGAGCTTCAAATCTAATCAAGAGTTTACAATAGCGATAATAATATCAATATAATAATTATCAATAAAATAATAGTAATTATGAATACATAATTATAATTACAATATATTGTCTACATAAAAAATGGCAATTTATATTTTCACACTTATTATACACCTCGCCTTTTGAGTACCTCTTCATCGATTCATATACTCATTTCTTGCATTCACTTCTTGCGAAATGCGCGTGTAAATTCGCGTCAACGATAGCGCGAAAATTTACAAGCGCATATCACACAATTAAAGACTAGCAATTATAATTCCTCCACGAGGATTCTACATTGATTAATTAGGTAAAACCGTGATAGATCACCGACACTATGTGATCGGGAATTACGGATTTACAAATATATTATCAATAAATTCTTCTCTCTCTCAGACAACGCTTTCATTCAATCGTTCGTTCTCTCATTCATTCATTCACTAAAATATATTATTACGATATATTCCGCGTATTCGCCAATGATCGATTCTTTTTAGATTATAAAACGTCCCGCCGAAAAATATTATACGAAGTCATCGTTGAAGAGAGCCCGTAAAATCGCGACGAAAATTGTATGGTCATTCTTAAATGCATTTCGGATGTAGGAAACGACAACAAAAAGGTATGTCTTTTCTCGATGATAATCGAAATAAATCTTCAAATATCATGTCGAAGAAGATAAATGTGTTTCTGGTTCTATACATTGAAAAATCACTGAAAAATGTCAAGTTTTGTCGGGCAGTGTCAGTAGGCAGGTTTCGGAATATATTTTCAAGATTGTGTGATGTATTTTTAAGTCTGTTGGCAGTTTTCAGTTTTTCAGAACAGTCTTTATGTTTCAGTTTTTGCAAGTCGTCGCAATTTAACGTCGCCTAATTATACGGCGGCGGTTGGCAAATAATTCGCAGAAAATATCTATTTAACTACTAATCGCTAATCAAATCTAGTTATAACGGAAATTCGTTTGCACTATCGAGTGCAAACGAAGGCCAAGTAAGTAGGAAGTGATTGCGAATTATTTGCCACCGATCAGTTGATTGGATCAGCATCGGCGGAAAGACCGAAGATCAAGATTCGATCTTAAGCCTCGAATTATTTTGGCAATTATTGTACTTGTCTATATTTACAAGTGTATCATACGTTCATACATCAGGGAACACCGAGGAACAAACACGTGAATTATGCGTATCTTTTGCATTGTGATAAAAGTTTGTTTTCGTATAACATTATAAATAAAAATTAAATAAATTAATAGTAATATGAATAAAAAATAACTAAAAAAACACAAACGGAAGATATAAATTCTGTCAAACATAAAGATAAAATAAAAAAAATAGATAGGAAATATATTTTTGGACTTGGAGTTACTTTACTCTTATTAAAATAAGTTTGTATTATAAAATTTCTCAACCATAACTTTTAAATAAAATATTTACTAACCAAAGAATTAAAATTTGTAAACAATTTTTTTTATGTCAATGTGAGAAATCACATTGATATAAAAAAAATATATCATCTCTCAAGAAATTATGTGAGAACACGTCATGTTTTTGCCTCACATTATAACTCTTTCAGGACGAAAAAATTCACAAATTTTAATTCTTTGACTATTATTTTATTAATTACTTAAAATATTTTGAAAAATTTACAAATAAAATTTTCAAAAAAATATTTACTCACGCGTTTGCGTCTCAGTTCTCCGTATTTCCGCTAAAGGGAATCGTCGTAATGAGCAGGCCGTCATCAGCAAACGGCAACGAAATCGTCACGAAGTCGAAAAGATTTGATCGATAGAGGGAAGAGAAACCGCATTAATATTATATTTTGTACACGCGGCTGATCACCGTTGATTCCAGCGTAAATCTACGATCTACGTGATTTGAAAAATATTTGTTCGATCGATCGAAGTTACGATTTCTATACGATATAAGTATACGTATATAGATATATAACGGTAATCATTTTAATTACACGAATTATTAATTAACGTGATGTCTGAATTTTTCTTTTGATCATCGAGAAGCTTTTATATGGATATTACAATTCACAAATACACTCGAAACTCGAGAGTAGATATTTACAACATTTAACATATTTCCACTGTATATCCGAATCTGCATAACATTTCGAATTACAGTTGAACGTAATCCCCGTATATATCGTC